TTTAAATTGTCTGTACATGGCGCCTAGTCGTTTTCTACAATTTAGTATAATATCTTCGATATGTTCGCGCCATCTCAGGTTAGAACTGACTTTAAGGCCTAGGAGTACAAGGGAAGGTTGGTGTGTTATGGTTGTACCATCACTCAGTGTGAACTGTAAATTATTGGCTCTACTAGGTGTATTAGAGATAAACATCCAGGCACACTTATTTGCATTTAAAGCCTTCTATTTCCTGCTTCTGGTTTGTGTCGCCTACACATGTCGATGTTTCAGTTTTCTGAAGTTTTTGTGGATTCATTTCAGTGGAAGATGGGGAAGAACCTCAAAGGAAGATAAACGTTTGGTAGACAGAGTTGGCTGTGTAAGATCAAATAACTCACTTTCTACAATTTCGTGCTGTTGTTGCTTACCAGTCACTTTATGCACCAGAGGAGATGTTGGACTTTGCCTTGCATGTTCATCAAATAGATTCATATCGCTCGTTAAATTAGAGATTTCAATCTTACACTGATCACATCGAACACGATCGGTATCTTCAATATATGTTAGACCAGCTGATGAAATCACAGCATTTCTATGTATACGTGAGATCGACGAAGAATTTCTCATGTTTTCAATCAACCATCCGTGTTTTGCATGGAAGTCTTCTTTCGATACTGTAAACTGCTTTTTCAGTGTACTTACATTAGAATTTAGTAAGACTCTCTTGGATTTCCAAGGTTGAAATTTTGGCTTCAAAGTTGAATTTTCAGGCAAAGTTTTTATCATTTTTTTTCTGTGCGATGTATTAAAAACAACACTACGGTAATTAGTTCCGAATTATCTAGAACGTTTAGAATAAATGTTTTTCAATCATCAACAATCAACTAGCCGACTTATCGGCAGTTCGAAAGTGTGCAGAACGCGAGAAAAATTTCCAGCTCCGCTATTACCACTGATTTTTGCCCAGAAGTCGTTGGAAATGTAAATTTGTCTAAAGAATATCTCACCTCTTGCATGTTTAATCGTAAACAGGTAAAATTTCGAATGAAACGCACTGTCTTCATTGCTATCTACAAGTGGCAAACTGAAAATATCGTGCAGTTTTAAATAAATGTTGACTTGGTTTTTTCCAACTTATTGTTTATGCAGGTTAAACATATACGAAAAATGGTAAAAAACACTGATTTCTTTTCTTTTCGCAAATAGTGAGCGTTGAAACACACACTCATTACCTGGACGACGCTCTTTATCCTTTAACATAGTCAAAGAACTTTTCTGCAGATGAAGCACTTAAGCGTTCTGCTGTCCACATGAGTGCATATATTGCAAAAAAATAATTGCAGTCCAATGTTCGAGAAGAAATTTGCTGATAACAATACCAACTTGACGCGTGACTGCTGAGTTCCAAACACAGTTTTTATTTTTCTATCAAAGAAAGAACCTCTTCAGCCGGAGGGACGGGACGTGAAACGAAAAGGTAAATTGGTCATATTTAATCTGTATAAATAAGAACTGATAAAAGAGAGTGGCAAAGTACAAGATTTCTCTAAAACCAATTTAAAGAAACATTTCTTAATCAATCAATCTGTGTTTGTTCAAGTATAACTGTTTTGTATTTAAGAGCTCGGCCTTGTACAAGAAATTTTCACTTTGATTTAAACACTGTACAAGATAGAGTGGAATTTTCTCTATGAAATAAGTTCACCTTCAGCTCATCATGTCCTTTCGTTGCGGGAAGACGACGTATTCAGTGTGCGTATGTTTACGCTCAAAAAACTGTTTTTATAATTTTGAAAACGTATTCTGCTCGTTTAACTATAGTTAAAGTATATATAAGTTACTTAAAAGCTTTTTCAACAACTCCAGCTCGATCGAATAATATTTCAGGGATATCAAATTCTAACATAGGTTGTCGACTATGGAAGACCTAATGGCAGTTTTTTATGTCATTAAAAATTCAAAAATCTGACGAAAATCTAATTAAGGAAGCCGTCAAAAATAATTGAACTCTTACAACGTAGACATACACTCTGTTCTACGTAAATATTTGTCTACGCGATGGTATAGACGAAAACTATTCTCTTTTCTCTCTTCTTTATTTTCAAGAAACACAACAGTCTAATGTATTTGCAAAACGGAACAAATTTTCGCTTTCTGTCAGCAAAAACTCCAATTTGCTTTTACATTTTGTAATTTCGGTTCTTTTGTTCGTATGATACATACACAAATACAAATACATATCTATGGGTATTCTTTAATATATTCAATTCTCAATATAAACTATATAACCAAAATATCAGATATGCTACAATTCACCAGCCTCCATCATGAAGAATCAGTCTCATTAAATAGAAAAAAATCTAGCGAAACGATTGCAGACTTTGTAGATAAAAAAAATCGTCTTAAACTATAACTGAAATTGATTAAAAGGTTGCAATTGGTTAGGAGTATATATAATGAAAATATTAAAGACACAACTCGCGACAATAATTCATTTGGCTCGTCTGATATCTATATTCGTTCTTGACCTCTTTAACCTCTTATCAGAGACCACGACGAAGAATTCTTCTAATATGAAGCCTTTTCTTTGTGCAATTCGAACAGCTTGACTCCAGGACATGTTTTTCGCCATGCGTGCTCTAAATATCTTTTTCAACAAAACGAAAAAGTTACCCAACGGATTTTGTTTAAAAGTTTTTGTTAGATAAAAGAGAGAGGAGTAGTTAAATGCACTAAATCAAAGTAATTTCCTCCTTCCATCGTCTGAAGTAAACATGTTGACTGGGAAAGACTTCAATTCATGTCTTGTAAAGACGGTCATTATAAATTAAACTTAATTTGATCTACTCTTCTCTCGTTTATTTAACAAAAACTTTTAAACAAAATCCGTTCACCTTGGGTAACTTTTTCGTTTTGTTGAAAAAGATATTTAGAGCACGCATGGCGAAAAACATGTCCTGGAGTCAAGTTGTTCGAGTTGCACAAAGAAAAGGCTTCATATTAGAAGAATTCTTCGTCGTGGTCTTCTGATAAGACCTTAAAAAAGACGGACGAAATGTCTGTGTGTAGTAGAGTAGCGACATCTGACACCACTTAACGTAAATTAGCGACATCTTTATATTCGAGGAGGAAAAGCCCTAATTACTACTTTTCTCAGCAGCGAGACATCCTAGATGTGCGAACCATACATGCAGAATAAAAGTGTTCAAATAGGAAAAATATTTCCATTAGTCTTCGTCTATGTTTGTATTTGTTATTTTGCGATGAGATTGAATTGTTGTTTTGTAGAGTTGACTGAAAAACAGCTTTAATACATCAGCATATGTTTGACCTT